TGGGACACCAGGTAAGCAGGGGGTCCTAGGTGACCAGGGGTCACAGGTCTCACAAAATGAACCTGGCTTCTTACAGACTCCTGTATGGAGGCATTAACCCCTAGAACCCTACGGACCCACCGGTGGGTCCAGCTGCTACGTGACCTCGTAATTTTAACAAACCCCCAGTATTGATGTAAAAAACACATTTGGCACAGTTTGGTGACATTTTTGGATAAATGTGCCAAAATGGCCTCTCCGCCTAAGAAATTTCTCACTAATACCATTCTAAAATAAATATGATTCATCTGATTGAGTCCAAATTTGGTATATTTTTACACAACATTTAGATTTAAAAGTCTGTACTACTTTTTTGTGCTATAAATAATATTTTGGTAGTGTTTTGCAATGTTTATTTCAAAGAAAATTTTGGCGAGGTTAAAAAAATTCAAAATATTTTGTATTTTGCCCCTAATATTTCAGGCAGGGTCAAAGCTACAATGGTGCTGACACCAGAAAACCATTCTATGACATCTTACCTTTACAGAGGTACCAAAAGTTTCTTCTTAAATCTAATAGCTGTGAGGCTATAATTGATTTACTTTTGTGTGTTTTTGTCAGGCAGAAATTTATTTATACCCCCTGAGGGTGTAAGAGGTTAACAGCATTTCCAAAATATTTATATTGTCATTACACTATACAGAGCAACAAAATGAAATCTCTGCATTTATCCCCTTAAGGAGCAGTGGGCTGCCATTGTGCGGTGAAAGGGAGCTGTCTGGGGTTAAGGCTCTTGCTCAAAACAGGAGCACCCAGAGTGGCAGTCCGTTGGAGTGTGTGGGTGCTGAAGTCTGAGACCCAAGTGCAATGCTATAACCACTAGACCACAACTCCCCAAGTGTTAGAAAAAAAAAACAGCCTTAAGGTGACTACTGGCAACAGCAGATTCACTGAGCATAGACAATTGCTGGAGTCTTTGGTTCAAGGACTACAACTGTTGCATACCTGGCATAAAGCCATTTTGAAACAGCTGCAAAGTGATACATTATCTGCAGATAAAAAATGCTTTTTCTTAGTGTTCCTAGGTGGATTAGAGGTTTTTGATTCAGTTTAAAGTGCATTTTCCATTTAATTAAAAATTGATAAAGAAGCACAGAGCTTAAGCTGTTTGTGTGCCTGCAGGACATTTGGTCAGTTACTGATGTTTTCTTGGTGTCGTGATTTGGTCCACAGTTTTGTCTCAGGTCCAAAGTGTCATACCTGTTAGAAGGCCACTATTTTTGATTAGATATCCCTTTTAAAGTTTATTAGTTTATGTGAAGTTTTCCTGTTTTGAGTAAACTTATTTGTTTTTTCATCAGGTTTATGCCATAATGAAATGATCAAAAAATATGAATCTATTGACTAAATGTGAGGTATGTACAGTATATCACATCTGGAAATAAAGTAGTGAAAAAATAAACATCTGATGATAGTTAAATGTATTGAGATTCATCAGCAAGTTAAGCTGGCCTGGTTCAGAGCAGGAGGTTCACAGAATGGTTAGAAACAGAGCAGAAGCTGGTTGTACTGTAGCATATCCTGTTTAAAACCCCTCCCAGCATGCTGTGTTCTCCTTTAGAGCATCGTCAGAATAAAATAAATAGTTCTGTTTTTGTTCAGTAAATGTCATTTTAGGTTTTGGTTTGTCAGATTATGACACTGAATAGAAAATGACAAAAGGACAGGCTCTTCTGTGTCCCCGGGAAGGAATAATGGTGCTTTGTAATTACCTGTGGTGTGGAAAATGTTGAATTCATTTATCACAGCTGGATTGACCTCACTGCCTCGGCGGTCGTAGACAAACTCTGACACAGAGTACGCACAGTCTTTTATATCCGTTATGAAAACAAGGGGGGAACTGGAAGGTCTGGCCAATTTAAGTCAAGCAAATCCTGGTCATCTGCTCATCTCCTCTCTTAGTAGGTCAGAGTGAATATGATAGAGAGCACAGACGCATACATTGTTCTGTTGGTAGAATAACACTTCAGTTTTTCCAGATAACAGTTTAAATTCATTATTTCCCCCCAAACAACGAAAGGACAATGCACGTTTGTTTGTGTTGTTGGTCTTTGTAAGTCAGTTTCTTGTTTTAGAAATTAATGCAGCCTCTCTGTAAGGAGACAGTGTAACATAATGACATATGTGAATGGGTCAGAGGCAACCGCAGAGATGGAGCCGCAGAGATACAGGATGGAGAGTCACTTTGCAGAGAGGCTTGCGTTACGGTGGGAGTGATGTATGACCCAGAGTCCCATCTGACGGCTCGTGTTACATGGCTTATGCTGCACTACAGTGATAGCTTTCCGTACATGGAGTCAGGGGCCACAATAATGTATGGGTCCGTGATGCTGCCAAAGATCTGACTCAGCCTCTTACTGTGACCTCTGGCCTGACACCTAGATGTTTTAGACATGCAGTGTATTAGTCCAATCACAGCAAAGGATTGACAAGCTTCTTAGTAGCCACCTTGTTTGCAGCTGCATGCTTATGTATAATTTAGAAATTTCTCTGTCTTACACAAGTTCAGATGTTCTTTATTTGACAAACAACACTCTGGATCTGTTGTGCTACAAAAATCTATATTTTGTAAAAAAAAAAAGGATAACAATGAACCTAATCTTTAGCTACTACACACACAAATGTGGCTTACACATCAATATTAGATTAGTAAAACCACTAAAATACATAACAAATGCAGGGAATCTATCTCAAAAGGTTCTTTAATTTACGGTAAGCATTTTTTTCATTATTTTACAGTTATAATAATGTAATAAAATGGAAATCTGTAACTTTACATTTGATCCATATATATATTTTATTTTTATTTATTTATTTCTTAAATAAAGTTCTACTGTACAGTATATGATTCAATATTTGGTTAGGACTCCATTTTTAATAAATGACTTTATCAGTGCAGCGTGACATGGAGGAAACCTGTGGCTATGCTAGGGGTGTTAGAGAAGGTGTGATAGGGCCTTTTGACTTTATTGTTTAATAAAGTCTCTACTGTGTAGAGGATGCTATTAAGCCATTCACAGCGGCACCATAGTCATTAAAGCAGATATTGGTACTTTTGGCAGTGTTGCCAGGTGCCAAGTCCAGCTGAAATAAGGAAATCAGGATCTTCATAAACTATTTCATTGGAGTAAAGCACAAAGTACTCTTAGATTTCTTACTTTATACTTGCACTGACTTTGGACTTGAATAAACACAGTTGACCAACACTTGAAGCTTGACATTGTCAGTGAAAACTGGGTGGTCTGTGAAAATGTAACATCTAGACCCTCTCCGGTAAATAGGTTTCTTACCTTCACTCTTGCTTTACCCTAAACTCTTAAGATGTTCCTTGTTTAAACCCATTATCCCTTGGTCAGATATCCCTGTCAACGCACAACTTTCTTCCAGTTGTTTACCTTCCACTTAATCTTCCATTCATAGCTCTGAACCTGCATACAGTATGCTATGACCAGCTAGCTTCTTTAGTCCCAACCAGTTGTGGCTAAACCTCCTTGTGACGGTCTTATGCATGGCCAACAGCAGTCTTCACAGTGATTGAGTAGACCATAGCAAATACCTTATAGTTACTTGTATGTATTAAAAATCATCTTTTTGTTTTTATGTAATTATAATATTTTACAAGGCACAACAATCAGAACGTAGGAAAAATACTACTGTGATTAATACATCTGTAAAATGTGACTTTCTGCTGAACTAATAATATGTTATATTCTGTTCCTATATAGAACAGTAATATAAGATGGGGGAGTGTTTGCATAGTGGTTAGAGCAGTGCGCTAGTGCTCTGGGTGACTGAGCAAGACCCTTAACCCCCTTAACAATGGCAGCTTCCACTGCTTCCCTAAGGGGATAGGTTAAATGCAGAGATAAAAATTTCTCCATTAAATAACCTGACCAGGTTTATGTCTCTATCTCTGATTTTTGAAGAATCATTGCTGGCTCTCTTTCAGAAAAAAAAAAATAAAATAAAAAAAAAAAAAAAAAAAAAATATATATATATATATATACATTATTTGTTCTAAATTTTGTCTGTCTCTTCTTTTCCCTTTTCGTGTTGTTTTCCTCTCTATGTTTTGTACTCAGCTGACTTTTCATGCTGTCTTAAAGGGAATGAAAGATTTTTTCATCACTAAGCTCACTTACCGATTGCTCCTTCCTGTGTTTCCAAAAAAGCAAAGGCAAAAGTAAATAACACAGTCCTTATCTGCTTATCTTTTCTCCATTTTTCATTTGTATGAAATAATAGCTGCATGAGTCATGACAGCAGACAACAGAGAGGAGAGCTGAAGGCGGGGTTATGAATCTACTTGCTCTGGAGAGCAGAGTTTGGTGCTTTTATAGGTTGTCACCTAAGTCTCCAGTGGCAGAAAAAAATTCATTAGATTTGGCACTAGGTGCTTTTTGGAATGAAAGTGCTAGACCAGTCTGAAAAGTCACTAAATATGGTGACAAAAGCGTTAAGTTGGCAACATTGCTTTTCACATCGTTTGTTTTCAAATGGCTTGCTGCCTTCTGTTTCCACCTTTCTGAACATGTGCAGCAAATGGACTGATCCAATGTTGTGGACAGTGAAGGGGGCAGGGTGTTGAGACATACTTCATGTTATAAGTGTTATGATGGCATTTAAGCAAAAAGATTTTTCTCAAAAACATAATTAATGTGCACAAATAGGGAATAGTTATATTAACCATACATGTAAACAGAGATTTATGGGGCCCCCAGGAACTTGGGCTCCTAGGCAACTGCCTACTTTTTGGTACACACACATATATATATATATATATATATATATATATATATATATATATACATACACACAGAGGTGTAGGGTGAAAAACACTTAACATTTCGCAAGTTGTCTCTTGATTTACCTGACTTTGATCCTCCTTTTTAGTGAGAGCAACCGTTGTGTTTTTTTTTTCTTCTTTCTGATGGATAGCTTGTTTTTCGTGTCTTCCGCAGGTTACCTTCACAAAGAGGAAGTTTGGCCTGATGAAGAAGGCCTACGAGCTGAGCGTGCTGTGTGACTGCGAGATAGCCCTCATCATTTTCAACAGCTCTAACAAACTGTTCCAGTACGCCAGCACAGACATGGACAAAGTGTTGCTGAAATACACAGAGTACAATGAGCCCCACGAGAGCAGAACCAACTCTGACATTGTAGAGGTGAGTGGGAATTCTCTCTACTTTTTTTTTTTTTTGTCCTTTATGATTTATTGCTGAAAACATACATTCAGACTCATTAGATTAGAGCCACATTAATAATTGCAGTGCAGGAATCTGTTTTTAAAATATGTTCATTTCTGTAGCACTTCTAAATACTGCAGGATTAGATAAACAAGTCAGGAAGAAGTAACAATTTCCTTCTAGTCATCACACAGATAGGGAACAGGAGGTCTGTGCTCCCTGATAAGTTTGGCTTCTCTTTTGTGAGGCAACGAATGTGAAAGACCTATCGGCACACGCATGCACACAGTTGCTCCTGACCACCAGTGCTGACTTCCAGTGTTTCCCAGAGATATTATACCTTTAGAGCACAGGAGCCATGCAGCCTTTCTCTGCACTTAGTCATCAACCCAGTTGCCTGCTGCATTTTTAGCAGAAATACAGTTTACAGCATATTATTTAATGCTTTCATGAGAGCACTTGAGTTTCCTGGCAACTCCTGTGTACTGGTGACTACCGGAAGAGTAAGCCACTTGTTATGCCAGTGTATAGAATCGTCAGCCAAAAGTGTTAAAGCCAGAGTAAATAAGAATAATTAGGGACACATCCTGTTCCAAACATCTTGCACTTGCACACGTGTGGTTTCATCGTGTTATTTCAAGATCTGCTTTCTTTAAAGGGGCCGTTTTCTTCATTCCAACTGCATCAAAGTAGACACAATGAATGCTATTGCTTATTGATGATATTATGACATTGAGTGTGAAATTAACGTTCATCTTTACCGCGGTTATATCAAGTGCACTTAGGTTATAGAGAAAGATACTTTCTTTTAAATGCAAAAAGCTGCTTCATGCCTGCACTGTTTCACTGCCACCTGCCCACTACACGTGCAGAACTCCTCTTACCACCGCACAAATAACAGATTTTTAAGAGTTCAAAATAGTTGAGATTTAATTTCTTTGCTTTGAAAAAAGAGATCACTCGGAGGAATTAGTGAAATTGTAGGCAACATAAAGGAGTCAGCTGCAGCCCATTATCTTTTATTTATGCTGCTTCTGCTGGTGAATTACCTGCTTGGCAGAGCTGCAGAAGAATGTTCTGGCATCCTCATGTAGTCACCTCTCCATCAGGGGCCCTCTAAGCAGACTAGAGTAGGCTCACCTGCATAAAAGATACATGGATACATGCCTTATATAACAGTGACCACTAAGTTGTTTTTGCTGTGACTCTAAAACCTTTTGATCTGAGAAAAGATTTGCTGGGAATTCATAGTAATAGAAATATTCCCTGTATTCTTAACCGGGGTTTTCTGTGTTTATCTGTATATATATATATGTNATATATATATATATATATATATATATATATATATATATATATATATATATATATATATATATATATAGCTCTAGATTCTCTAGATTAAATGGCTGTGAAACAATTGCTTTATAAAAGCGGTTCACATATTAATTTTCCCTCTTTCTTTTTTTTTTTTCATTTGGGGAGAATAATTTGATTTCATTTGATGTAAACAACAAGAATTACCCCTGCTTTACAAAAGTTGTCTAAGACAAAATTTAGGAGATCCGATCATCTAAGAATTCGTCTTATTCCCTTTTGCTGAGATAACTTCAGAGAAAGGCATTTTCTAGCTATTCACCAATGTCTGACATCATTCTTTTTATAGTGTTTATTAGGGGTAGCTGTCCAACTTTTGTGTACATTCTGTCATGCAAACCTTAGTCTGAGTCTCTTAATGTTTTGCTAAGAGCAAAAGTCCTCCTTGCAGAGTCTCCATGAAAGGTAAATCCATGTACAGTAGTTTAGTTCTGATTGAAAAGGCATGAACTTTCATGTCAAAATAAAAAAGAGTATAGATTCTGTGATGATGGCATTTGTGCCTATCCATCCATTATCTGACACCCTTGTCCCGAGTGGGGCCGCAAGGGGTGCTGGTCCCTTTTTCTGCAGTCAATGGGCAAGAGGCGGGGTACACCCTGGACAGGTCGCCAGTCCATCACAGGGCAACACAGAGACAAACAACCATTCACACACACAATCAGACCTAAGGACAATTTAGAGAAGCCAATTAACCTAACATGTCTTTGGACTGTGGGAGGAAGCTGGAGTACCTGGAGAGAACCCACGCATGCTCAGGGAGAACATGCAAACTCCATTCAGAAAGACCCTGGGCCAGGACTCGAACCCAGAACATTCTTGCTGCAAGGCAGCAGTGCTACCCACTGCTCCGCAGCCCGCATTTGTGCCTTATGTCTCATAATTGTAGGTTATTTTCTGTACATTTAAATGGCTGATTATTTAAAACCCTCCATTAGTCTGACCAGACGTCCCAATTTTTGCGAGACTGTGCCACATTTTTTACTCCTATTCCGCTGTTCTACAAATCAAAACAATATCCTGAATTTGACTAGGTTACATAAAAAAAAAAAATATATATATATATATATATATATATATATATATATTCACTGGCACTGGTGCTTTTTCGTAATGGATGACAACCCTCTGCACGATGCTCTTAAAAAGGAACAGGAAAAGGATTTTACTATGAAATATTGAATGGACTGTGGAATGGTTTATAACTGATTGAGGCCATCGACGCCCATAATGACCCAAACTGAATAGTTGGCTAGCACTCTGCTCTATTGATATTTTTCAAACCTAGACAATTAAAATAATTATAAAAAAGTGATACTGGCCTATTTTAATTATTATTATGTGTATGCAGTTTAATTCCTCTTTGAATCCCCTAATTTATTTATTTTTTGTCCTCTTTTTCCAATATAGCTGTGAATTGATGTCCCTGAGCAAGATGATTGCCCAACAGATTTGTTTTCACATGCAGACCATTATTGTTGTTGCCATAAGATTCTGCTTGGAACTTGTAAATTAAACTTAATAGAAAATTATTTAGGGAGTTAAAAACATTAACAACAGACATGGAGACAGGAAGGGAGTTGAGAAAGAAAGAGGGGATAAGACCTAAGGGCAGAGAGAAAGAGACCATAGTGCAGAGGTCTTACAGCTCAAATGCAGCAAGCCCATTGGCTCCGCCACGGCCGGTCATGCCCAATATTGACCCGGATGAGAACCCAGAGGTATGGGGGCGCATCACCCCCTAGTGGGGTTAGGGTTAGGGTAAACCCTAACCCCCTTTATGCAAACTATCAGATTGACTCGCTGATGTGATGTGGTACACCGGCACAGTAGAAAAAACAAAACAAAACACCCCACAGTCTTTTGGAAATCCTTTCGAAAGTAGACACACCTGCCTTTAAAGGTTGCTCTCTTTGTCTGCATGTGGGGTGGGGGTGCATGTGTTCACCTGCCTGCAAGTGCATTTAGGGTGAGCCTGGTGGATTGTCCACATTTTCATAGTGCTGATTCAAAGTCCTCAAACAAGCTGGTTTCTCACATGTATGTTAGACAAATAGTTGTCATTAAAATTTAGCTTATCGGCCTAATTTTGACTACTTTCAGCGTAACAATCCGTTACACTGAAATGCGCTGCAAAGAACCCTGGGAGCTGGAGCCCATGATCAGTCATAGGGGTGATGTTGTCTTTTTAGAAGGGTTAGCAACTGTTTTTATCTAGTTAACCCCCTCTTGGAGCGGCGCTACTCTGCTTGCTAGGAAAGATATATTGGAGAGATTGTGTGATCAGATTGGAATTTAGTATCACTAAATTCCTAAAAATGTTTTAATATGCAGCAAATGTCTTTTCATGCTCATCTGCTGTATCCTTTAGTGAAGCACATGGCGGAGCTGGAATGTACATGGTGAATGCTTGTACACCAGTGACCCTGAGTTGATTCCTCTTTCATTATTGCTGCTGCTCTCAAGGAAGCTTCCCCTCTCTACAGAGAGGACAGAACAAGCTGCTGTTATCTCGGCTTACTCAGCAAACGTCTTCACAAATTTGGACAACTAACCTCTGCCTGCTACTATAAGTCGGTGGTATCAGAAATAATATAGGGTTGAAGGAATCAATTGCATTGCCCTACTGTACTTTAATCCTATGTTTTTGCTCAGCTACAATCTGTTTGGCCTAATATCTACTCACTCTACTGTTAACCTGTATCCAACATTAGTGCTTTTTTATAGCGGTAAACATCTCTATAGATGTTTCTGAAGAGCTGGCGCACTTTAACTGATAGGTAGAATCCACCGCTTCCTCGTTTATCTGCCAAAATGGGCCTCACATGGGGACACTTACAGTGGACACTTATCTAAATGTTTAAATTAGGTTAGACCAATCTGATTCATGCACACAGGCATGTGCTCATTTGTCCAGTTTGGGAGGGAACAGCCCTCCACTTCCATTTCTATTTTCTTTTTTTCCCCTCTCTCCAGTAAGCTCTTTTCCATGCGAGAAACTAAATCAAAGGTCACATTCCTGCTCAGTAGTACCATCTGTAGATAAAGGCTGAGCTGTGCAGTGTGAGAGAACAGTGTCCATGTTTTCCACAGATGGATGAATGCCTTGGCCACAGTTTGATAACCCAGTGGAGGGCTGTGGACTTTGTCTCAAACTTGGCTCACCATCCAAAGTGGAGCAGTAGGTTCACATTCTTCACCGAAATGTGTGTGGTTAACCTTACTAACACTCTAGGGAACAATATAGACAATTTCTCAATTTTTCAGTCAAAAATTAGATAAGTCTTTAAAATCAACACATTATGGATTTATTTAACATACTCTGTGTTTTAAGTGCTTTTTTTAATCCCATCTCAATATTTAGTTTTCCTAGCCTCACAGTGGACATCATTTATATTTAAATCATGCATTTCTTGCGAGTTAGGAGTTTGCAAAGAGATTAGAATGGGTCGACAGATCTCGTTGTACAAAGGCGTCAGTTAGGAATAAGGTTTGGGTGACACATCTAACCACAAAGATAGGCAAACCATGGCAGTGAAAAGAGTCACTGATAACACAAGAAAAATAGGACAAGATAGAAAATGTAGCAGTGAGGTTTCCAT